CAGCTGTAGGCTTAGACGTGTTCCAGATGGCATTCACTCGGCTTGGCTTTATGACGTCAGCTTTTTCCGGGACTTCTTCAAGTCGCAGCGCCGCACTGCCACCGCCTGGCCGGATCGGCCCATCGCAGGCTTCTTGATGCCGAGGAGATCTTTCGAGGCTTCCGAGCTTAGGAGCTGGACATTCCATTTCGCCGGCTAACACCTCCCCCCACCGGGGGAGTTTAGTGTGCCCACCCTCTCTAAGGAGTGGTACCCATTGTATCTACTCGCCGAAGCTTTCGAACCGCTGGGTGGACGGCGAGCTGGGGACAAGGCTGGTAGCTCACACCAGCACAGGCTAGAACTGACAGCAGTTCTGTTCAGTTCAGATGTTACTGTAACCAGAGGATAAATCCTCTGTGCCACCGCTCCCCATAGGATAGGGATGCCGGCCTCCAGGTGGGACCTGAGGATCCCCCAGAATTACAGGTCATCTCCAGTTCCCCTGGATAAAATGGATGCTTTGGAGGATGGACTCTGTGGCATTGTACCTAAATGAAGTCCCTGTCCTCCCCAAGCTCCACCCCCAAATCTCCAGGAGTTTCCCAACCTGGATCTGGCAATCCTTCCGCCCATCCCATAGATTAGTTTAAATCAACTTTCAGATAAGGTAACAGGTCACCAGACCACAAATGTGTTTGTTTTTTTAAAATGTTTATTTATTTTATTTATTTATTATTTGTATTTATAGCCCGCCTATCCCGCGAGCAGGCTCAGAGCGGGTAACATCATAAAACATACAATAAATACAATTAAAATGAAACAATTTAAAATTAATAAACATTAAAACACAGTCAGACTTCTAACAAATCAGCTGGCTGCAGGTTCCCTGGCATATTATTTGGGCTGATAAGTAGATGGGTGACAACCCCCTCAGGGAGGCCATATAGAGTCGTCCGCAGCCTCAACCTTCATTTATACCCTGCTTTTCTTTCCTAAGGGAACTCAAAGCAGCTTACATCGTTCTCCTCTCTGTTTTATCCTCACAACAACAACCCTGTAAGGTAGGTTAGGCCAAGAGTGTGGAAGACTGGCTCAGGGTCACCTAGCAAGCTTCCATGGCAGAGCCGGGAATTCAGACCTTGATCCTCCAGATCCTATTCCAATTTTACATGCACGGTTTCATGTTGAGTGTGGGGATACTGAAGGAGGAATGCAGGCTGGAGCTTTCATGGTGGCTAGAAACCTCCTTTTTGTGAGTGATATTTTCAGTCTTCCAAGGGATCCTGCGTTAGCAGCCTGAGGCTGCACCATTTGCCACTCGCAGTTTCAGTTCTGCTGGGACAGATTCCCTGAGGTACTGCTAGGGTTGCCAGGTCTGGGTTGGAAAATACCTGGAGACTTTGGGGGTGGATCCAGGAGAGGGTGGGGTTTCGGGAGGGGAGGGGCCTAAGCATGGTACAATGCCATAGAGTCCACCCTTCAAAGCAGCCATTTTCTCCAGGGGAACTGAGCTCTGTCGTCTGGAATTCAGTTGTAAATGTGGGAGATCTTAGGGTTGCCAACCCCCCCAGTTTGCCAGGGGTCCCCCATTTTGGGGGGGGTTCTACCCGCCACCGGCCAGATGGCCGGCGGGGGAAGCCCCACCCCCAACACCCACAGCCACCCATCTCTCTCCCTTTAAGGGTGTGCAACCCGTGTTTCATCCCAAGCGCGAACTCCGCAAGCTTGCAGGGAAAAGCCAGCTTCGTTCTTAAAAGGGAAACGCAGCTTCTCTTAAAGGGGAAACGCCAGCTGCCGGCTACTTTAAGTGCAGGGAACTGCTGTTTCTGGAGATCCGGCACACGGCCGGGTGGGGGTGGGGGCGGCAGACGTCCCCAACGTGACGTCATCACATTGGGGATGCCCCACCCCATCCAGGAATGCCCCCAAAGTCCCCCGCTGGGGGTGGAAGATGGACTTGGCAACCCTAGGAGATCTCCAGGCCCCACCTGGAGGCTGGCAACCCTAGGTGCTGCACCTAACTTGCAATGGACATTGCTCCGGGCCACAGCACTTGCCTTCTTATTCTCTATCCCGCTCTCATTGGGCTTTAAATGCACTTTTGGTTGCCCCAGAAGACTGAGATTTCAGCAGGGACAGTGAGCCTGGTGCTAGTTCAAGGCTTCCCATTAACTTCCACTATATTTCCTTTTCCCTCTTCTTTGGCAGCAGTTTCTTCTTCTGTGTTCATTGTGGCTATTTTGGTGCTGCTGCTGCTTTTGTATCACCGAGACCCTCTGTGCTGCCAGTTCCTGTGCTCCTGCCGCTTCTTCCAGAACCCCAGCCAATATGTAAGTATCGCCTTCTGCCCTTTCCCAGCAGTTTGATCTATCTGCTTTGTCTACCCAGCACCCCAGTCCCTCACCTCCCACCCTCGAACTTGGATAAGCAGCATTATTTCTTTGTGCCTTGCTTGGATTGAAAGGAACCCCTGTTGCACCCACCATGTGCCTTGTGCAGGGTACCTTTGCCAGGCCTGACTGCACTGTTTGCTCCCAATAGCCTCATTTGTGCTCTCCAAGGCTATTTGTGGTTCTTTCCTGCTGGCTTACAGTGCTGTGCCCCAAAGGAACTCTGAACCTCCCTGCTCATTTCTCACTCTGTCGACAAACAAAGCCCTTTCACCTGAGCCTGTCCCCAACTGGCGTCTTTTGAGTCAGGATTGTCCTGTCAGGGGGTCCATTATCCAAGTGTGAGAGCTGGGATAAGGAAACGCTTTGGAGGGACTTCTGTCACCAGGGCAATGACAGGCTCCCTCTGCGCAAAAAAAGAGAAGCCCCTCCCTGCCCTCTCCAGCACGCTTTTTTCCAAGCCAGGCCCCCTTCCTTTTGCAGGGACGGAGCTCAGCAGGGAATGCTACTGTAAGGCACCGGGTAAATACAGACAATGCCACTTTCAGCTGCTGGTCTCCCAGCAACCGGCATTGTACTTTCCACAGCTCACGAATTGGGAACAGGCAGCAAGAGAACATGTTCTCCTTAGTTCCTCCTCCCCTCTCCTCAT